TTGTAACTTTTTCGAGCCTCTTCTATTTTTTGTATCTCTTAAAATTGTTTTTTACTCTCTTCTTTTTATAAAATAGAATGAATACACGTCAAATAATAAAGTGAAAGTTACCATAAAATAATAGAATTGTGGATTTTGAGTGAATAAGTCGATTAGATAGTCTCATTGTCTGCACGTAAAAAGTGTGCGATGAAATAATTATTTTAATAAAATACATCGTGGTTATTAAACAATTTTTTTAAGTGAAAAAAATTATGAACTAAAAAATTTGTAGAATAAAACTTCTTTTTCATACATTTAACACTCTTTTCTCTTTTTTTTCTTTCATTTTTTAAATAAAATCAATAAATGTTGTTAATTAAGTAGGTAATTACAAAATAAAGAGTTCTATGACTGCTAAATTTTGAGCTTTCTTGTCAGTGTGGATAATTGATCAGCAAGTAGGCTGATGGCCCTCATTTGAAAACTTATGTAATCGTGCACTACAATTATTAGTGATAACTGGAGGGCCTATGATTATTACTAAGGCACCAAGAGGTATCAACACTTGACTGTTAATAATTCCTTGTCATTTAAAGATCTGGAGATTGGTACTTGCACAAATACAACCAAAGGCATGCAAACAGCAAGGAAAAAAATTCTTTCCAGCAGCAAATAAGAGTGAAAATCATTTTGGTTCCTATTTGGCTCAATTCATGTATTTTAGAATAAGATCTGAGACTACATGTATGCAATGCTTTATCAGTGTAACCTTAAACTTTGAAATGTTAATCATTTTATTGTATCAGAAGTTGCAAGACAAAAAAAAAAATTATTATGTGTAGAATTTTACTACAAAACAGCAATTACAGCATAACTTATGTTGAGTATTATGAAAAGAACTATAATAAAAGTTCTTAATAAAATCTTTTATTCTTTAGGAAATTCTCACTTGAAAGGGTAGAACAACAATGTTGGTAGAAATGAGCTGTACCAGATTTACAATACCACCTTGGATATTTCCTTATGTTTAAGGAATCCTATCCCTTCCCAACAATAAATGTCCCAATATAAGACAGTGATGAAAATCAAAGCTTAAAAGAAAATACCTCAAACGATTCAAGTTTTGTTGAAACAATGTCACTCTATTTTAGTACTAAGGTTGCAAGTATGTTCCAAGTAAAAACATCCGTACCTTTAGAAGTAACGCATTACTATATGAAATTTGTAAAGAAACTCATTGAAGCAAATTTACCGTTTTATAAAGTATGTTGTGACACTTCTGCAATATGATAATTTCTAGATTGCAGATGTGATTTATGAACTTTCAACCGAATTCGATTAAAAATGTAACTTTATTCATGCTAAGACATGTGTTACATAACCATGATAAATTATTCAACAGAACTTTTCAGTGTTTACAAATATAGACGCTGTAGATACAAAAAATTCAAGAATAATATTACAACATTTTTGAGTATCAAATAGTTTAATTATCCATAAGAAATTATTAAAATACCTTGATGTACCGCAAATCTAGCTAACATGTTTATAATCAATGCTAGTGAACAAGACAGAAACTACAAAATATTGAATGATTCGATAAGTCAATAAATTTAACCAAATTTAGACAATAAAACAGTTTTCTATATAACAGGGTATAAATAACTTTATTTGTATAGTCAATCAGAGAAAACTACTGTGTGTAGAACATAACGAGAGTATGTTCTAAAGAATCATAGAAAACACATGTGTTAATATAGCGCTCTACTAACTTAGTCACCGAGATAGTTTATACGTAAAACAATTGTTTTAGATCGAATGCGCATACTAAAATATGCAAAAATTACATTGGATACTTTTTAATGCAAGTAAACATATTCAGTAATAATCAAAAAAATTATATAAACAAAAAAATTACTTCGGCAAAGCCCTAATAGACCCAGAGCTGAAGCGGAAGGGTGGTCAAAAATTTAACCAGCCGCCACCGCCGCTCTCAACAGAATTGGGGAACCTTATAAATCGTGGGAATCCAAAATGTTTCGGTCATATTTCGTAGTGATAAAGAGTTATGTGATAATTACAAAAGCGCCGTATAACATTTCTTATTAACCAGACGCAACTTACACAAATAGATAGAAAATAAAAAGTTATCCTGTAAGTGCCACTTGTGGCAAGATTAGAATGCATCTTGTACCCGAAAATCGACCTTCAAAAATATCTATATGGCACTTCCAGTCAAGCACTTTTTATTTTCTATCCATTAGTGTAAGTTGCGGCTGCTTGATAAAAAAAAACCATACGAAACTGAAATAATTACCACATAGCTCTTCGCCACTATAAAATATGACCGAAATAATTCGGTACTCCCCGAATCATACGGTCCCACAATTTTGGGGAGAGTGGCGGCTGGTTAGTTAGAGCTTCAGCAAAATAACCAGAACGCACTTTGTAACATCAGAGAATATAGAATATATCTCTTTAAGTATAGAAATTAGAAAGCCTGGGCAATTGAGGGCCTTGAGGGGAGGGCATCAAGGCAGGCCTTTTCGTGTTTCTAACTTTAAAGGCACATAAATTTAGTTAGGTACCCTATAAGACAGGTGGCGTTAGCGTTGGAGGAAGTGTACCGGCCGAGCCGGCCCAGCAAACACAAAGTTTTTAAAGACATCTTTTACGATGTCTTTTACAAGATTTCTTTCAGAAACTTCGTAAAGTCATCTGAAAGATTGCTTATGGCAACTTCCTGAAGTTATCGTTTAAAAAGACATCTTCGAAGACGTCTTTAACAAGATTTCTTTAAGAAATTTTGTAAAGTCATCTGAAAGATTGCTTATGGCAACTTCCTGAAGTTATCGTTTAAAAAGACATCTTCGAAGACGTCTTTAACAAGATTTCTTTAAGAAATTTTGTAAAGTCATCTGAAAGATTGCTTACGGCAACCCACTAAAGTCATCGTTTATAAAGAAATCTTGCAAATTTCTTGAACAAGAAAATACGTAATATATGTATGCATAAAAAAGATGTCATAAAATAGTATCTTCAGCATTTGTTGTCAACCTATTATAACATCAATCCGTATCTGTACCCAGTGGAGAAATATCTTCTATTATCAACCAAAGTAAGAGTATTGAACCATATATTTATTTATAATACTTTGTTTTCATTAAGCTACTATATGTGTCCAAAGTACATTAATCTAAGTTTGATAGGTTATGTTTAACATGGTAATAAATGAACGGATTTTTTTTGAGTTTTTTTTTTAAGTGCACAAACTACAAAATTTTGTTATTTCGATGTTAATTACTCATTATTAAAAGAAAACCGTTTTATTTTCTATCAAACAAGCAAAAAAAGAGACGTTTAGCTGTCAGATTTTATGAAACTTTGAATAAAATTATTACAAATTCTCATAAAAAAAAAAAAAAAATTGAAAAAATTGATACTGAGCTAATAATTTTAGATTCGTACAATGTTGAACACTATGCGAACATTTATGTATGCTTATACATACATATCTCTAATATGACAATTCAAAAGCCTATTCTTTTACAGATTGAAAAAGTTAGTAACATCGGTGGTCATGACATGCCAAAAGAAGTGACAATAATAATGGAAAAAACTATATAAATCCAGCAGGAGCAAACCAATGTCACATCGTCTTGCAACTTCCCAACAATAATTGAAGATAAACAATTTAAATTTCAGACATTCTGTAAGAAAATTACAAGTTCCATCAATTGTTTATTA